CAAAATGTGGCATTTCGACCGGCGGAATGTTGCCTAATGGGGCGCAATATCGGCGAGCAAACAAGTCGTTTTCTTCGAATAGCGGAGGACCACTTGAATTTCCATCGTTCGTTCACCTCTCGTGCACGTTCCAAGCTGACACTGTGCTTGGCCGGCCGTACGAACGAACGAACGAACGAACCCGACGTTTTCATTCGGTCTGAAACGATTGTCTCGTGACACCGCCGATCCTCTCGAAATGGCAATCGCACGGATTAAACCCTCGGACAGTCGCCGACGTTCGACGAAATTCTCCAAGCTTTAACGACCGTGTGGCCCGCGAAATCGCGCCCCGGACGCGCGCGACGTCCCAACGATTTAACCGAGCCCCAATGATTCAAACGGGGCTCCCATGTGTCGCAGAAAACGTTCCATTCCACGGCTCCTTCCGATTAAATCTCCGTGGAAAATTGGATTTTCTAATTGGATATAAAGTGAAACGATAGCCACTACGTTGTGGAACACCGATCACGTTATAGAAACACACGCACAGAGAGAGAGATAGAGAGAGAGAATCTGCACGCTTGGAAATTTTAACAGAAGCTTTCCTTTCGATCAAATTAAATTGTACTCGAGAGTCTCGCATAAATAATTAACACTTTCAAGCCATTTAGAGCTTTCATTGTAAAACGAAGAACTTTATAAATATTTGTTTATAATGTCATGCATTGACGATCATTTTTCCCAGCTGTCTGTTAAGATTGACTCAATTCGATAAAAGAGTTGAAAATTTGTTATCAAAATAACGTTAAAGTAAATATTATTCATTAGTATTTAGTATTATTGCACGGTATCGTATAATTTGCACAATAAATTATTACTATTCTCTACTAAAAATATTTGGAACAAAATGTATTATTTCAAATTGATTCTAACATCATTAAAAAAATTGTTTGATGAAACAATATCTTAAAATTAAATGTACTTAATGCTTTGTTCTGTAATGCATCTTTAGACCACTTTTCCTGATAATTAATAGTTTTTGCACTATTGTAACAATTGCGAGACACGCTTCAGGAGCAAACCGATTAATCGGTAACAGCGTGACCTAAACGGAAAGTAACCAAAAAAAAAATCGGTCCGACCCGGGACGCGTTAAACGTCGTTTTAGATTTAGCTCAGCACATTTGACAATGTACCGCATTATGCAATGCATCTAATTAGCAAAATCCTGGTCGAATCTAAGAAGCGGAATCCTCCACGGATCGTAGCGGCATAATGGATATGGCCGGTGTACGTATCCGCCGTAATCATCTCCGCAGGAGAGGAATTTCGAATTCGAGTCAGCGCCGGTGCACCGGTGGGACTGGCCATGAGAGAATAGTCGGCCCTTTGACCGTTCTACCGGTCGCGCTGCCACGTTCCCAACCAAATTATATAATGGTGATAAGCAAAGACGTTCCTTGCTCTACGCTCCAACGCGAACCCGTCATTCCTTCCGCCAAAGGATATGCGCTGTCATCGTAAACGTGCTACACTCCCGAAATCAGATTTCTATCGCCTCCATTTCGAGAAGTGTTTCATTTCGCGATTTTTTTTTCTTTTTTTTTTTTTTGAATTTAACATTGACTACCACGCGAGTAGTTTATATACTTTCCTCTCGTAATTAGAGTTCTTGAACGATCTCGAACGCAGGCAAGTTGAAAGCCTAGTCTTTTAATTTTTCTTTTTTTTTTTCATTTCGATTCTTCGACTCTTCGATTCGAGAAGAGGAACGTCGGTGATCGTCGGTGATCAACGCGCTAAAATACTGGTTGAAATTTGATAGGTTTCATTCTCATCGAGCCACTATGGTTGTTGGCTCTTCGATCGCGGGAGTTCCAATCCGCGCGGAATAACGTGGAATTACTATTTTTATACAGGCGGTGCGCGCTGGCGCAGATTTCCCGGTTGAAAAAAAAAAAAAAAAAAAACGAAAAAAAAGGAGACTGATACGAGAGATTTCTCGAAAAAGAAAAAGAGGAGGGGAAAAGAAAAAAAAGAAAACGGTAGCGTCGCGCGGATTATTACACTCGTGACGTTAATTTCTTCAAAGAGCATTAAATTCAAACCAGATCCACCGGCCGAAACTTGCGCGAGGTTGCAACGGCGTGTCTGGACCACCGCTGTTTGCTCGGGATCGCATTTATAACCGGGCGTTGTACGAAAATTTATTCGACCGTGATTCCGTTTATCTTCAACGCGCATTCACACGACGCGCGCACGCTCGCGCTGCATTTATACGCAATCAGACAACCAACTACAACCTCCAAGTATCCCTTGAACTTTCCCTTCGATCGTATTTTATCTCTCTCTCTCTCTCTCTCTCTCTCTCTCTCTCTCTCTCGTGGCTGCGAAACAACTCGACGCGATAGGAAACCGCGAAAATTACTATCAATTTAGCCGTGGCAAAGTTTCCGCGAAACTTCAAAATTCCGCGAATTTGCCAGTTACCGGCGCACTGGTTGGTGGAATTACTCCAGTTTTCACAGCGCTGGGATCATTACACTGCCGGAGAGCAGAGAGGCAGACGGTTATTAACATTCCCGGACGAGGCAATTTGTTCCATTCTTGCGCGAGTGCCGGGAGGATCGGCGACAAACCGTGCAAACTGTGCAACCCCTTATTAGCCTCTAGTGTCGCCAGAATTTCGGTGTTTTTGGCATTAATCGCCCGCTCTCCCCGCCTGTTCTGTTCTGTTCTGTTCTGTCTTTATTCTCGGCAAAACACGAGCTAGCTGGGACCGCGTTTTCTCTCTCCGGGAGACGTCGAACGCCACGACACGCTTTCACGGTCGGGTGAAAGGAGCTCTTCTAGGGTGAAGAGCGAGAGAGAGAGAGGGAAGAGACAGACGCAGGAAGACGGCGAACGCTCGTCCTCAAAGGTGGAATGCCGCAGGCGTTCGTACACGCTCATCCTGATAGCATGCAACCACGTCAGTCAGTAGCTACGGCTCTCGTTATTCGTGCGGCCGCGCACGTCCCCGAGAATTCTGTTTATTCAAGCATCTGCCAGCCCCATCAACTGACCGCCAAGTTTCCCCCGACATTGTTTCGGTTTACTTTTCTGCTCCGTTTGCTCGCGCTTTGTCCGCCTCGGCGGCGACAACAACGACGACGACGACGACGACGACGACGACGACGACGACGACAACGTTGACGAGGCGACGAGCAAACGTCTCTGAATTTCGCAGCTTACTCGCTAGCGAGTGAATTCAACGTCGAGGATAGTGAAACGCAGAGGGAGGTTCCTGAACTCTTCTCCACTTTACGATTAGGTTGGTAACTCGAATCTGAGAACACGCGAGAGTTATTTCTCGTCTGTGACCAGCGAACGACCGTCACGATGGGAGTGGTCTCGTTGAATTTCAAGAAATAAATGCGCGACGTTTAATTTCGACGGGCTAGTTTGGTAGAATCGTCAGAGACTACGAGTCTACATGTTGTAAAATACCTAAATATCCATACTGGTCGGAAAGAAAAGACGAGAGACGTCGTGCGTTTCCTAAAGACTATTAAATAGAATATTAATTTGTTCTGTAATAATTCTTTCTATTTATTTTGTTCATGTTTGTCCACGACATAAATATAACAAGAGTATAAAAATTGTCTTTGCTAAGTTTACGTTAAAATGTTAAAATGAAAAATAAGTCAATTTCATTTAATTCGCATTATCGTCAAGGGGTTAACGACTAAAAATGAAGATTTACGAATAGGAAATTATCAAAGTGTTACGTTCAAAAGAGTATCGGTTAACTAGGCTCGACTCTAAGTCGAACGGAGTAAAATTTAAAGACGAACCTCTTGCCACGCACGTCGAGAATTTTTTGTCCCAAGTTGCAACATTTCCTCCGTTTTAAGTATATTTAAATGCAACCCAGGCAAAATAAATGACAAGTTTAATAATTTCTATCCAGTGATATCACGAAAAAAGCGACGACTTTATTGTGTACGGTTCGGTCACTCGTTATGGTCCGCGAACCAGTTGCCAGCGCAAGGGGTTGAACGCTTGTCATCTTTTCGATTTTTTTGGGGGGGTCACGTTCTTGTACGAGTCTCGGTCACAGTTTTCGGGGAATTTTGGGAATTTAGCGTGACAATTGCGCAGAGTCTCGAGCGAGAATTAAGAATTACAGAATTACAAGAGCGGTCGAGAATATTTTAAAGCGGTAACACTCGGTGAATGGAAATTTTTCTGCAGTCGGGAGTAGCCTTCGCCGAAGGCCCGACTTTTGCTCGGGAAACTAATTCGTCATAGTGACGTAACCCGATTAGCTCATGCTCGTTAACACTTGGTCAGCCAATATATGGTCAGTTATCGATCAAGGCCTGACGAAGACGTGCGCCTGACGGGCCTCTGTTCAAATACAGGCGCAATTGCCATTGCGTGGCCGGCTATTTATACTATACTGGGAAAAACCAGGATCGTTACGAAGTCGAGAATTCGCGGGTTCTTCGTCCCGTATCCTGCCATCTATCATTTTAGCCAATTAGCAATTTCGACGATGCCGCGCGGTTTATACATAAAACGCGCGGGAAAATAAATTGATCGATTCCGCGTTAAAAGCAGGATCGTTCGTCGCAATTTCGTTGAATAGAAAATCACTTTGCCGATCGAATTGAAGGTTTTCGTTCGATCTTCGTGCAGCCAGATTTTTAACAGCCAATCCCAATTCGTCCTTGTCCTTTTATTGTAGACTCGTGTTCAGCGGTGAAAATTGAAACGAAACACTTGGTCCCGAGAATTTGGCGCGACCGATCTCGTTTTTAATTGCCCGCTGCCCCAAAGGACCGCGTGGCGAATGGTCGTCCAAAAGTTCATCCAAAATTCATGTCGTCTACCAATTTACTCTCGATTCTCGATAAATTATTCCCTCGAACGTGGTCGAAACTTCAGGGAACATGTCCCTAAACCTTACCCGGTGCGTTAGAGAGAACGGTCGAAGAAACGGCGATAAACACGTTTTACATTTCTGATTGCAGAACATCCTGGACAAGTTCAACCCAGGGGCGAGGCAGCTGATCAATGCCGGCAAGGCATATCTGAAGGCTCTTCACGGTGAGTGAATCAAATTGAATCTTTAAGGGGAACAGATCGGGGACCGCCGGGGACAAAAAGACGGCGAAGTTCGCGAGACAAATAGTCGACAGACGGACGAGGATCGTGAAGTGTCGGGCGGAAGAGATGAACGGGGAGGAAGGTTAAAATGAAGAAAGAAAGGACAAACGAGCGTGGAGGAAGGTTTATGCCGTCTCCTGAGTCCTGTTTCAGGATCGAATTGCCAGCTCGTCAGAATTACACGCTGGAGGGGTGTCAACCTCCTATTTCATTCCTTCTCCCTCTCTCTCTCTCTCTCTCTCGTCCTTCGTCCTGTTTCTGTCGTTCGACAAGCATCGTCGTTTCCTTCTCTTTTTTTTTTTTTTCGTCGACTTCTCCAAAACTCTGGCTCTGCCTCTTCCCACAGGATGTGTAAACAGGGTTCATCGGGACCCGTCCCTCTGCCGGCCTCGTTCAATTGAAACTCTGGCTTCGTTTAAATTAATTTTTCTCGCTGATCGTTTCAGACAGAAGCGCGTCCCCGGTGACGAAATTTCTCTCTCGTGGAAAGAACTTAACGAATTTTAAAGTAACATCGTAGTACCGGTTACTACAATTAATCTGTAGTAATAATTTCAGCTATGTTTAAATATAACAGATGGCCTGTTTGTTGATCACAGAAGTATGATAAAATATGAATGTGACGCGACAAGTCCAACGTAGGCATGGAGCGCTTTTCTTTTTCAAAAAGAAAAAAGACCAAAGAGAGTTGAAAGAGAATTGTTAAAAAGTGTCGCACTGTGTTGTTGAAAGAGTTTATTTGAACTGTTAATTCGTGTAATTTATTGTATTGAAAGTAATCTGTCTTGTTTAATTATTTACTTTCATTAAATTAAAACATTATTTATACTATATCTCTACAATATATACAATAATCTTGATTGTTATTCTCCAACGAAATGAAATTCTATGCGTGGCCGAGATTCGCAATTAACGAGTGTATTTCCTATTCACTTGGCAGCTCGTTGATTCTTTGATCGAGGTACAACGATCGAATTCCTATCTATCCGAGGAACTATCGATCCGTACGGAGAATTAATTGCCACTTGCAGTTAGTCGATGAAGCAAACATTAATTATTCGATTTTTCATCCATCACCTCCTGCCAGCTTCGATCGATCCATTTCGAGAAATAACCCACTAACCTTGAAAGAAATTTCGCTGCTAGACGTCGACCGAGAGCAGCCATCGTGCATGCCCGATTCTCGGTATTATCTCTCTCGGGTATGGAAGATTAATCCCGACCGCAGGTGCAGCAGTCGCGTACGCGAACGATAACATAACGGAACTCGAAACTCGGTTTAAGCTGCCGTTTAAAAGCGGCGCGCGGTTTATAGAGACAGCGACGACAGCCACGTGTTTTCCACGCCGTTCAGCAATCACGACCGAAGCAGCAACACACCGAAGAGGCAATTGTCTCGCAGAGACCAACAAAGATTTAAGTTACGTCTTTGGGCTTGCGCGCGCGCAAGAAAAATCGCGTTTCACGCGAACCTCACTTCCCGATTTCGGTCAGACATCGATTGTTTAAATTTCAGGAGACAGGACGAAGTTTCCTCGGGCAAAGTGGCAGAAAAATACGCGACTCGTTGAAAAATTTAATCGCGCCGAACCGTCGAGTGACGAAATACCTTGGAAAAACAAGAGGATACTGGACGCAGCGCGGGAAATATTTGGCAAGCAGGCGACGACACATAGTCGCGGGGGCACATTACGCGCGACAAAGGGCGGCCATTGTGTCCCCGTGGTTTTTATCCATTTCTTTTCTTCTTTTTTTCTTGTCGTTCGACGTTCGCGGGGACCATGTGAGCGTCTCTCTAAATCTCGGCGCGCGCGTACGTTCCCGCGGTCTATTATGGCTGATAACGAAACGCGGAGGGGTGAGGGGGCAGGAGGAGGAGGAGGAGGAGGAGGAAAATCGTTATACAGCGTCAGAGGCAGCGTGTAGCGCGGCGAGAGAGAGCAGTGTAGCCTGGCTCCGGCGAGCTTCGAGCCAGCTGGAAAGCTCCGACTCGTAAGCGGAGCTTAAATCTGGCTTTGTCACGGTGAAGCGCACACGTGGAATCACACGGCCGTCGGAGGTGATGCTTGTGCACCCTGGTTCGCCAAGGGGGTGCGGACCGATCCTCCGGGGTGGAGGGGCAGGTCAAAGAGGGAGAGAAAGCGAAAGGTTGAACGAAGCACGTTGGGAGGGAGAGGGTGTGGGCATGCAAGTAGCAAAGGGAAACGCAGACAGACGCGGAGAGTGCGAGAGCAGGATTGCCGGAGAATAACGGAGGGAGTGTGGGAACGGATTTGAATAGAAATAGGGGGCAATGTTGTAGGAGAAACGTTCGTTCGGAGCGAGAGACGCGCGGAACAGGTCAACGCGGAGACGTGGATGAAGAGATACGAGTCTGGAAGGAATCGACCGACGTGGTAGGTCGAGAGGGGAGAGGGAAAAAGAAGAAAGAGAAAAGAAAGAAAAAAGAAAGAAGAAGAAATAAAGAGACAGAACGGTGAGTCATTGTCGTACGAGAACGGGGCGGGTGGCCAGAGGCGAGAAAAATGGTCTGTAATGAGGGTCAAAACGAAGACAATTAGACGAGGGGGAGAGATAGAAAAAGGGAAAGCAGGGAAAGCAGCGGCGAGAGAACCAACTCCGGAGAGGAGTATGTACGGGGGCTATTGAACGCCGGTGAAAGAAATACGGCGGAGATCGAGTAAACGGGGAAGCGGTGTAGAAAATTAGAGGCGATGACGGTATGCGAAAGGAAAGTCGGTAGCCCACCGGGCTGGAAGAGAGGAAGCGCTTGAAAAATAGCAGGAAATTAAAAATAAGAAGCTAACACGAGGAGGGGGGGAAAAAAGAAAACAGGAAACGATAAGGGGAACATTTATACGCTGTTTATCGTGCTCCTGGGTGCTTTTTAAAAGGAAAAACTGGGATAAAGTGAAGGAAGGCTGAATAAAATGCGAAATATGCGCTACGAAAGTGTCAACTGAAGATAACGGGCGTCGTTGAAACAGGAGAGAAACAGAAAAGTGAAGAAAACCGAAAGGATCTGGCGAGAAAGAGTTGAAACGAAAACGAGGAACCCAGTCGCAGCGAATTCCACGAGATCCGTAGGATTAAACAGAGAGAGAAAGATAGAAATATGCGCGAGAAATGAGATACAAAGAAGTGGAAAAAAAAAAGAGAGCAAACGAACAACCAAGAGGAACGGAGGAATTTAAAGACAAGGTGTTGATGAGACAAAAGAGAGAAAAAGAGAGACACTGTTTAATGCCGGAATATGGATTAGATGAGAACAAGGATAATGGAGAGTGCCAGGATGAGAAAAGAAAGGAAAAAAAAAAAAAAAAGAAATACGAAGAACAGTGCAACGAGGAAAAGGGTAGAAAGGAAAGATCGGGCTCAGGATTCAGCTGACATCGGCTAGAAATATCGACGTATTTATTCCTGCAAATTTATGGTGACCACCGAATGGATGATCGTGAAATTTTTGTCGAGGGTCGAACGTGCGTGGATTTGAATAAAACATTTTCACGATTCGCAACAGTAGCATCCCGATAATACACGATCAGCAAGATTGTAATGATCTTTTTCTTTTCTTCTTTTCTTTTTAACCCAATGTAAACGCGTATCTAAAATATATAATTTTTCTCTGTTTTTCGACGAAGGAGATTTTTTTTTTTTAAGTTACATTTCCGCCTCGCGACTTGACACTTTCGCGAATGTACATTCACAACAATGAAGCGCAAACTCCCGTATCTCTGGGTTCTAGAACTAATCCGCGACACTTTCTATCTTTCTTAGCACGCTCGTAAATATCTCTCCCTTAAACGTTTCCTTTCCCCCGCGTGTTTACTCTGTAAACATACCTAATAAATTCTCGTTGCAATCGTCATACCTACGCAAATACACGTCCCACCATGGGATTTCTTCCTCTTCCGAAAATTTATGCCATCCACGCCTACGACGAACGCGTTATCATCGCCAATTCCTTTTCAAAGATCTCGAGCAAAATAAAGAAAGAAAGGCAGAGGAAGAAAAAGGTCGAACTCTCGTCAAATGATCCCCGCGCGATTACGTTTGGCAGACGATGTTTAATTCGAAGGAAGCATTCTTCGGAATACAAATGACGGCTGAGAATACAGAGGCGAATGAAAACGCGATTCTGACATGAATTACGTCTCCCCGGTTAATCGGCTCTGCGAACGCTACACTGCGAAAACGCAATGAATTATGCAAAACGTACGTAGCTAGTCGGCAGCTCGTAACCTCGTTATCGCAAGCTATTAATCGCAATTCACGAAATTCTCTCGAACCGTGGTAATTCGCGGCGAACGAAAGAACCCAGACGGGGTTCCTTGGTCGACGTTCTCGAAGCATCCGAACACCTTTCGTAAGATGCAAATTCGTGTCTCGATTTGACAAAATATCGTTAGGCTGGAGGAAATTACGAGACACCGTCTCCTTTGACAGAAACTTCTTAAATTTAACTTCCCTCCTCGATAGCATAAAAAAATTACCACATTCCATTTCCATTAGGAGAAACGTTTCCTTGTGAAAATTAAGAAAAATTCCCTGCTACAAGCTCAAGCTCTTTCTCGATATTTTCGCGAGTCTGCGCTCATATTATAAAAATATCAAAGAAAAATACAACGCTTTCGCAACATGTTTCGCAATTTCCTTACACGAAACGCATAATGCCGAGCGATTGTTCAGCAATTTGCAAAATTCTTTAATCGCTACTTAACGAAACAACGTCCTCTGGACGTTGACTCACTAGCGAGCGAAGAGCGTTTTAAAAGCGCGATTCACACACAGTCGATTCGTCGCAAATCCAATTAAGTTCTTTGAGCTGCGGCTTTTTTTCCGTTCCCAGTGGCAGTGAATTCGATCCGCACCTTTTTCTCCACACAGTCGAGGAAATCATTAGGTACTTCTTGCGATATCACTGATATTTCAGCAGTAATTAGAGAGCATTTTGTCGAAAGTCGTC